GGGGACGTTCCTCATGGTGCCGCCGGCTGTCCAGTAGCGCTGGCAGTTCTTGCAGAAGTGGCGGGGCTGGTTGAGGTTGTAGTTGTTGTAGTAGCAGAACTTGGTGGCCATGCTGTTGCACCGCGGGCACGGGAGGATCTTCTCCGGCTTCGCGGGCTTCGGGTTCTTCTCTCCCCCGCCGGAGAGGCTCCTGACGGGAGAGGAAGGAGATCGCTGCTCGTTCTTCCCTTCCGATGCCGATCCCGACGATTCCACGGCAAGAACCGAGAGATGCTGGAATTCGAAAGGATGTTCTCATCAGATTCTGACAGGAATTCCGAAGAAAACGAGTCGAGGAACTGCAGTCTCAGGTGGAAAACGTTGAAGAAATCCGATCCCTCCACCCGAGACACGCGAAAAATGACAAGCCGACAGAGAACAGAGGAAAGGGGCGGCAAAGAAGGAGCCGCCATTTCGAGAAATATTGAGGAAATCCTGAACACGGGTAATAAACACATAAAAATCAACGAAATCGATGGACTTCCCCGACGGACATCCGAGCAAAGGTGAAGCCGCAATTGGCGGCAGGAAACTCAAAGAGGAAAAGCCTAGGAAAACCCCTGCCGGTCACCTCTTCTCTTAGGAAGATTCTCACCTTTCTGCCGTCGTCTTCGTCTTCTGCTTCTCTTCTCTCTCCCCCGGCGCCACTGCCGCCTCCGGTTTCCTTGAACGGATCTGCCTGTATATGCACCTCCACCGGCACCGGAATAGTCTTCCCGAACAGCTTGACGAGGCCCCAACTCCCTGCCATTTTCTCCGTCCTCTTCCCTACCAAACTCCACCTCCTGCCCCAACGACACTTGCGCTTCCCTCCCCAGCCCGCTCTCTATATGGGTGCTCTACTCCTGGTTGTCGTTTTCTCTTCTCTCTCCACCTCCCTCTTCCTGCCCCTCCCCCTCCTGCGAACTATCTAGGTCTCTCTCTCTCTCTCTCTTTCTGTCTTGGATATCTGTCTGCGCGGGACTGTATCTAAGCCTGACTTTCTAAGTCTCCCCGCTGGTTATATGTGAGGAGGGTGGCTGCCACTTCAGCAGCGGATGGTGATTCTGAGCCACAAACTTCTTTGTGGCCTCCGCAGCTCGTTATTTGATTCTCCTCTCCCTTTTCAAGGGCGGAAAGGTACCCCCACAAAGCAAACCGCCTTCCTCCTCTCTCTCTCTCTCTCTAAAATCTATCTATCTCAGAGCCCAAGTGGCTGGGACAACAACAATTGCTCGTTTCGTGAGAAACTCGGCGAGCTGGAAGGGAGACGAGTTTTTGGGTGCGTGCCGGCTACGGGAGAGGGAGAGCGAGAGGAAGGGGAGCTGCGACATATTCAGCTGTAGTGAGAGAACCGAATACACGTAAAAGGTTGAATAGGCATCATCAGATAGGCAGAAAGAGAGAGAGAGAGAGAGAGAGAGATAAAAACAACGGTGAGTAGGTGGGCACGAGCCCAACCCATGTCGTCCTCAACAACAACCCCCCCAAAGGGAGCGGAGACGCGGTGAGCTGCCCAGCTCTCCTCCTCTCACTGGTTCAAAGAATCCCTTATACTTAAAACCACATAAAAATCGGTGCCCCTCGCCTGATTTGGACGATCAACTCTACGAAATCAGAACGGAGCGCGCTAACCGGGGAAGACCAACAAGCAGAACGGATTATAAATACAGGTATTCTATCCCTCCGCTTCAATATCCGGCGACAGTGATGGTGATCTGAAGTCTCGGCCATCTTAGAGCCGCATGAAAAAAATGGCGACTGCCAGCCCATGAAGACAATGGAAGAAGAGCAGGCGTGAACTTCCATCCCATGGCTCGAGCTTGTTCCCTGAAACCCTAGGCTTCAGCGTCGCCCTCTCCATCAAGATCGCCCTTCTGATATCACTGCTGATGGATATATTGTGGGCGAAAAGATGAGGAGTTCCCATGAAAAACCAGCCTCTGATTATTGGTGAGAAGCTGGTCCGAGCGTCGATCTTCCCCGCCCGGTTTGACTACTGCCCCGCGTTTGACTGATCCGTTCGGAATTCAACGCCAGGGGGCATAGTTTATGCGATCCTTGTTTGATATTGCGGAGGGCAGAAGACTTAGAGAAGAAACCATCGCAGGGCAGAGACGAACCAGTAATTTTCCCTTCTTTTCTCCTCGCGCGTTCCCATTGGGAGGGCACGCGATAGGAAAAAAATGTTTTGAGGTCATTTTGCAATTGTCCGTCTTTCGTAGGGGTAATGTAAGAGGCTCCTGTTGCGGCGAGCGAAAATGCGCGGCATTCATTCGCGAGATTTTGGGCGGCGGCGCTCTTTTACGTAGCCCGGAGGTCCCCTTTACTCGCCACGCGTCTTCCGGGCCCACTCGATCTGTGGGCCGCCGCAATTTGCTTGCCAACTCAGCGGGCGCCGTCGGGGTCTCCACAGCGCCACGTCATAGCGTATCGCCACGTCACCAACCGCCTCGTCAGTGGGGCCCACATGGGGCTGAAAAGGCTTCGTCCATCGCTTGGCCAGGAAAATTCAGCAAAAATAATTTAGTCAAAGTAAAAATAAATATCTGACATTGAATAAAATTATAAAAAATATTTTCCCAAAGAATATTAATCTCTAACGGATTGCCTTGCCTACCAATAATCGTGTAAAGCATCGGCCAATTTAAGATAATGTAAAAAATTTCGAGATTTATAGGCTCCATAAAAAGTACGGGGTTGCTTCGGGGTTTTTTTCAAATTTAGACCAAAGGACATAAATAAAAACGGAGGAACCTTTCCCGACCACTTTTTAATTCGCATAAATAATAAAATAACCCCGGCACTAAAAGTTCGTCTTAAATATTTCAATAAATCTGGGCAGCCGCCATTGGCCGTAGCCCTCCGGGCTGGTGGGCGGGTGCTTTCCTGGGTGCCACGTGCCGAAAGGAGATCGCCCGTGGTTTCACGGGAGCCCTTCTCTCTCTTCACCCCTCTCTCTCTCTCTCTCTCTCTCTCTCTCTCTCTCTCCTCTGAACGTGCGGTGGCTATTTGGGTTTCAACCCCGGGAAGCTGGCGCTCCTCACGCAGTAAGTTTTTTCACTTATTTGATAGTCTGGATGAGAACCAGCTTGCACTCAACGGGAAACTTTCTCATTTTGCCCGAACTTTGAAAGCAAAATATCTGGACTCACCCACACCCACGAGCGAATTCCACGTTCTCTCTCTCTCTCTCTCTCTCACTCTCACTCACACACTGTCTCCCTCTCTCTCTATCTATCTATATATATTTATCTATCTACCTAGGGTATGTCAAATGTAGAAGATTAGACAAATACAAATGTGGCCTAATTTTACTAAGTTTGACGCCCCAGACCTAAATGATTTTCAATGAATGGCTTATGCAATCACCCACAAGAAAAACCCTTCCTCTATGGATCTCCCTCTCTCACATCACAAGCAAAATACTGCATATATATATATATATATATATACCAAATGTGTACATCATGGAGAGTTAGATATCTCCATAATTTTGGCTGATTTTTCCAAACTTAAAGCTCTACAACCCATTTTCGTTGTCACAAAAATTGCACTGGAACCACTTTCATGAAAATTCTCCTCTCCCTCTCTCTCTCTCTCTCCCTCTTCCTCTCTCTTACACATCGCGCTCGCAGCCTCTCTATCTAACCATGCATTCTATAGCTGTAGTTGGGCATATCTTCTTGCCAGTACTGTCCCGCAGTGTTCTTGATTAGGCAGGTAGGAGTGGAGTCAACCTGATCGATGGGACCTAGATCCCAGTTGACCAAAACACCGGGCTGATTGATGTTATCGACCGGAAAGAGGATCAACTAAGCCCATCCCGGCCCTCTCATCACATCAAGCCGTCCTAGGAAGACCCAAACATAGATTGACCCCGAGGAATGGTTGGTCAAATGGCTCCTATGGGTTCGACCGGCACGTGCGGAGATACAGCAAGGAGATACTCAAATTCTGAGGCCGCCGCCGGGCATGCTAAAAATCTTTCCTGCCCCCCACTGCGGGAAACTCTACTGCACGCGAAGTTCTCACTTTCTACCCGGACGATCATGGTTTCCCCACCCACACGTCCCTCCAAATATCTCACTCTTTACACTTCTCTAGACGAGTAGATCCGCATAGCAAGCACGTTCGACTGCACTCTTCTCTCTCTCTCTCGCTATCTATCTATCTCTTTCTGTTCTATCATTCCACAATGGGGTAAGCCCATCTGAACGCAAAGAGAGGGCGTGTTTCCCAGATCTTTTTGACTTTTTTCCGGAGGAGACAAGTGGGAGAGAGAGAGTGAGAGAGAGAGAGGTGGAGCACAGAGCATTAAGACTGAGGAGGGGATGAGGCAACTGGGGTGGGGTGCAGCTGGACCGGGCGAGTGAGGTGGAGACCCACAGAGGTGCAGAGAACCCTCCCCATCTCCCGGCGGGGTCTCCTTCTCCCTCATTGCCCCGTTGACCGAGGCCCTCGCCCGTTGGAGACATGGCTCTGGTCTCCGGCATGTCCTCCCCGTTCTCTTCTCGTGGGATAGAAGCTTCCCAAAAGAGAGGAGCTTCCCAGACCAGTAAAACGGTAAACCTTCTGCCCTGGCGCACTCCGACTTCAAAAAATATCTCCTTCGTCTCCCTCATGCGCCTGAGGCTCCAATAGAAATCCCCACAAGTTGGAGGCGCACCAAGAGAACCAGAGAGAGAGAGAGAGAGAGAAGCCGGGAGACATGACCCTCGGCCGGCTTTTGGCGAAGGTAACGTTTGATCGAGCTGCCATTCCGATCCAACTCCTCTCCGAATCTCTCTTCAGTTATAAACGGAGAACTTCGACTAGTCCCACGTCAACCAGGGGTAACTAAACCTGCGATTAGGGTCCAAGTTCGCGCTCCACTGGTAGCCGGCTGGACATCTAAATTTTCTTGACGTGGAGTGAGGGGACCGGAGTCACTCATTTCCAGGAACGTATCAGAAGACTCGGGCATTGACCACGAGAGGCTAAACCCATGTATGGTTAGAACATCAAAATGAGCTACGCTAGATCAGGCAGGGCCTACCCACTTGATCCTTTCGCAATTACATCCACACAGCCTTCGGATCAAGATTGAATGGAGCAGATCGAGCCCTACTTTTATCGCGGGCATAATGTCACAATGTGTTCTCCAAAACCCTATATTCCAGGTCTTGAATTCCTAATCTATGTGGCATGCTATTAAATCGCCCTTGGATAGGCATATGTGCTCGAACATTTCCATGGTAGATGGGCAATGAACGAACGGGCCTCAATCCATCCCTCCTCAAGTAGCTCCTAGCTGAACGATCTGGATTTTCCTCGGAAAGAAAATAAAGTCAACTGTGCATGTTCATGGGCAAGTATTAAACTTTAGCCTCACATTAGAAAAGCTGACACTGATTCAGCGAATAATGACATGGAAGTTTGAATAAGTGAGAAAAATTCAGAGCCTCCGATCTTGACCGAGATCGAAGACCACTGATTCGACTGATTTTGATGCCCAAAGTCTCAGTCAAGAAAATTTTAAAACCTCTGACCTAAATCTTGATCGATCGCAAGCGTTGACTCCAATTTTTTTATGAGGTTCAAGCTTGGTTTAGGAAGTTCAGCTCAAACAATACCCATCTGGATCTCTGAATCGATTATGGATAAGAACTCGATCCATCATTCTAATCATATTCTAAAACGATTGTTTTAATTTATGAATTCGATCGATTATTATAGTCGAAATCTGATTGATCATGCGGATTAAAAACCCCCCATCTCGGTCTTTGCATTGAAACCATCTTGGACCGGCCCAATCCGTCGAACACGCAAGTAAACCTTCGACCAGTCAACGCGGAATTAATCCTTTGGAAACAGCAGGCTGCCGAGGTCACCGAGTTGGAGTTCAGTCAGATTGTTCTCACTAAACAATCTGTCGAAAGTAAGTCGAATTGAATGCACGGCGCGTAGGCTGCCTTGGAGGGTTCCCTGAAGTCAACACAAGGAGCCGATGGGTCAGTCGGGCTTGAGAGAGAGAGAGAGAGAGAGAGAGAGAGGTATTGCCGTTGATGAATTGTCTGGGATGACACGTGTAATGACTGGATTCGGGATCAACCCTACCCCTGCTGGAGTCAGCCCATATGCCGACTGAATTGGCAATATTGTGGGCCAAAATCTGGAAACGTGTCGGGGTTGGGCCGCGGTGAGGTTACCGGCCCACTCCATTGGCCGGTCCGGCAGTAATTCAATGCTCTTACTGGTTGGGGTCCCACTGACATGTCCTCATCATGAGCTCATCCTGTCTGAAGAAAGATGGCCGCTTTTTTGATGAGATAGAGAGAGAGAGAGAGAGAGAGAGAAGATTGCACGTCACCACCCATTAAACCCATAGTCAACGGCTTGAGAGAGAGTGAGGGCACGCGCGATTCGTCTTCCTGATGGAAGCCAAGAAATGTCTGACCAATTACTACCCCACCCTCAGAGAGTGCGAGAGAGAGAGGAGAGAGAGAGAGGGCTATTGTGGTCAGGGTGCAGCCAGTCCAAAGTCCCACAGGCTCCCCGTTTCCCCACGGAAGGGGATAACCCTCCCCTCCCGACTTTTTCCCGCTGGAAGGAACTTCCGCCGCCGCGCTGCATTCCTGCTCGTCGGTTGGGGTTCCCTCTGGGATCCAATTTCGATCCGATCATCCATCCATTCCCCTTCTCGCCATCGTTGTCGGTGGTGGGTTCCCTTTCAATTTCCTTCTTCCTCCTCCCCGTTCAGCCCGGCGGCTACCCTCGAGATCCAGTTTCCGGCATCGGCCGCCGGCGGCGGAGATAGAGGGGTGATTCTCCAGAGAATCCAATTTTGGGTTCATCTTCATCGCCGGTGGAGGGGAGATTTCCTCCGATTCCGATCCATTTTCATCCTCTCCCTCAATGGTTGATTCGCGCTTCCTCATCACCGTCTCCAATCCCCCCCATCGCCGCCGCCGGTCCGCCAGTCCCGCCATGGTGCATCCCTCCGGCGGGAGCTCCCCGCCCCACCAGCCGCAGAGGAGCAAGAAGCAGCAGGCCGCCACCTCTGCGCAGTCGGCGGCGAAAGGGTCTCTCTGCCGCTGTTCCCACGGCGCGGCGGTGGACGTCGTCGTCCTCGTTGTCGTCCTCTTCGCCTTCGGATTCCTCCTGGTTCCTTATCTCCGGCTGTTCTTCAGTGGCCTCTCCGTCGTCGGGAGCTCCGTGCTGGTGGAGCTGAGGGAGGAATCGTTGGCTGCCCCCATGGTCTGGCTGTTCGTTGTCCTTAGCTTCTTCGTCCTCTCCGTCGCCGTCTCCGCGGTGTTTCTCTGCGCCGCCGGCGGCCGGAAGTGCGGCGACCCCAATTGCCGCGGCCTGCGCAACGCCGCCGAGTTCGACGTCAGGATCGAGACGGAGGAGCACATGAAGAACTCCGACTGCCCCGACGGCAACGACGGCTCGGGGCGGCTCTTCTTCGAGCTGAACGAGTTCCACAACCGGGAGGTCGAGGCCGAGCTCAGGAAGATGGCGCCGCCCAGAGGGCGGGCGGTCCTGCTCTTCCAGGAGAAGTGCGGTTGCTCCGTAGGCAGACTGGTGGTCAACGGCCCCAAGAAGGTCCGGAAGCTCAAAAAGTCAGCCTGCTGAAGCATTCTGACGATACAATAACCCACCCACCCACTAGGATCCGATCTCCTGTGACTGTCCCATAGAAATGGAATAAGGAAGGAGGCGATCGATATACGTCGCATTCGCAATATTTATCTACTCACAGTAATTTCATCTACATGTATCTCATAGCGAGAATACTCGAAACGGATCGTTTCTGAGACTCTCGGTTTATAAGCTTCACTCCCCCTTTGACTTCGCACACAAATTGCTCTGGTTTTTCCATTCATCCGGGCCTAGACCCGACGGATGGTGGAGGCTTCCCGTTTTCTCTCTCTTCTTTTTTCTCATTTTCCCGGGGGGTTTGTCTCGATCGCGAGATTTCATGCGGTTCGTCGTCGGCAGCAGCGCTAGCTCAGGTTCCGTTGGATCTAACTCTCTTGCTTGGTTCCGAAGGTTCCTCTGTGTGGGTCTGTATATCTGTCTGCAGATGATGATGATGGAGAGGTCCATGTAGCACGGAGGAGGAAGATGGAGATACAGATAGAGATAGAGGAGGAAGATCGACCTGGGGGAGGTAAGGAAACCCACCCCGTTCTCTTCTCCAAGAACATGATCCCCCCTCTCACTCTCGTGGAATTATCACCTGACAGAGAGTTAGTTTTCCTCAATTACACGCTTTAGAAGAACAGAAGGCCGTGGGCAGAGGAACAGCCTTAGAACAGTGATGGGTCACCGCGGAAAAAAAAAAGTAGGAAAAAAAAAGAAAAAAAAGAAAAGAAAAAAAAGAAAGACGAAGAGAGGAAAGAACTCCGTTTCCTCTGGACCAGGAAATCGGGTTATCTAGTTTCGCCACATGAGGCTTGATTAAACTGAGTTAGGATCAAAGATTTTTAGAAGAATGGAAACAGAGGCCCTGAGTTATCTTGTTGTAGAAGATAACCGACCATTGCCCGAATCCTTGGTTGACGATAACGAAGATCCCGAGTGTTCTTGCTTCCTCTCTGGCTGCAGCTGTTCTTGGGCGAAGAATGTGTGCATCTCTTTAATGGGTGCCTGCCGAATTCGCTCATCTGCAGAACCCACCAGCGATTCTTGATGGGCACCTTTAAAAGAGCAGCTTTCGATTCAAATCCTCAGGTGGGGGGCGCTGAGCATCTTCCTGGAATCCACTTTGCTTCTTTTGGATCGCTAAAGCGGGAGCGTTTATCGTGGGCGCTGAAAGGTTTTAGGGAGGGAGAAGAGGCGCTTACGATGCCCTCATCATCGCTCCCGTCTGAAAGACGTTTTCCTTTTCTGCCGGATTATCGACGGAACAGCCGCCTGAGATGGAATATTTTTAAAATGCAGAAGGGGAAGGCAGGGAATATTCCCGCGAGAATTTAAGGACGATGTTAGGGGTTTTGAATATAGTAAGAGGTGTGCATGGACATGATATTGATGTGCCACCATTTTCGTGGCTTGGTCCCGAAGTTAGGTGGCGGCCCGCTCCGGCGAAGCATTCAAACACCCTCCCTCTCTCCCTCTCTCTCTCTCTCTATCTAGATTCCTTGTTGCAGATACCTTTAGGCTGCATGGAACAGGGTCGGTCTGGTGCAACCACCGGGACGCAGCCATTTCTCCGACCGTTCCCCCATGGTTTCTGATAATCCCAGAGGTTCGCGGGGTAGAGAGAGAGAGGGGTGGGCGCCGGGAATCGGCGAAGGGAAAACAATCCCGACACTCCTTTTCCCCGGCCTTTATCTCTCCTTTTGAGACCGGGATTTTTGAAGGTGTTCTCGGCAGAGAGCCCGCAGAGGGAAAGGGCTTGGGGACGGGGTATTTCCCGGCGGAGTCAAAGAAGATAGAGAATGGCGGAGGAAAGGTTGGGGAATCTCAGAGCCCTCGCTTCCTTAAAGCCCAAACCTTTGCTTCGGACATGGAGGAGACCGGGTAAAAAGCCCACCCTTTTCCGCGTGACCCCTTCTTCCCTTTTCTTCTACGTCGAGCTCTTTGTTTAAATGCCGGGGCGGCCAGCCGACCAGTGATCGTCTTCATCATCTTCCTCCTCCTCCTCCGGGTTGGTGAAACGGTCCGACAGGTGAAGCTCCGCAGGAGATGGTGGACAACCAGAGCTTGGCCCCATCTTCCCACGCAAGACCCAGCCTGAAGTGGACCAGCCAGCTCCATGAGCGCTTCCTCGAGGTGGTCTCCCGGCTCGGCGGCGCGAGCAGTAAGTGCCCGTCGGAGTTTTCGGCCCTCCGGTGGGTTCCGGCGATCACAATCGGTGTCTGTTTATTTGAATGCAGAGGCGACGCCCAGGTCGGTGGAGAGGTTGATGGGCGCCTCCGGCCTCACCCTCTACCAGCTGAAGATCCAGTTGCAGGCACGCCTCGTCTTCCTCCTCAATCTCCCGTGAAAATCGGCTGCCGCTGTCTGGTCCTTTACGCTTCTCCAATTGCAGAAGTACAGGCTCGCCATGAAGCGCGGTTCCGAAGCCTCCAGCCATGGCAGGGAAGAAGAAGGTGGTGGCGACGGGAGGTTCCTAGAACACCAGAGGGCCCGCCAAACTCCCATGGAGTTTCGGAGGAAATCTGAAGAACGGCTTGAGGTGAGCCTGACCTTCTTTCTCTCCTTCCTTCCGACTGTTGAGAACGAACAGTCGCAGAGACGCTCATCTTCCCTCCCTCCGTCTTGAATCTCCAGGTGCAGAGACACCTGCAGCTGCGGATAGAAGCGCAGGGGAGGTATTTACAGTCGGTGCTGGAGAGAGCTCGCGAGATGCTCGAGATGGACGCCGCAGATTCCCAACCGTCGCCGGCGGCGGACGCCGACTGCCTGAGCTCCGACGGCAGCTGCCTGACGGAGAACGACGGGGCAAGCGGCTAGAAAGCGGATACGTACGTCGCGCCGGAGCGACGGCGAGGACTCCGGCGGCGCGGTTCTAGGAGGAGAGGAGCATCCGCAGAAAATCCCCCTCAGTCCTCAAGAATCTCGTGCAGTCCCTGCATTTAGACTGTTTCTAAGCACGATCCTTCTCGGTGATGTCAAATCAAATCTTCGGAGGATTAGACGGTCTTCGTGGGAAGTTATCTGCCGGTCTCCCTTGAATCCGCCCCCTTTCGTAAGAGCTTCCCAACAAATATCCATGGATTCTCTGCAAATAACCTTTCGATATCTAGTCGGGCTGCACCTCGTCGAAGCTCACTCAATCCTCGCCAATCAAGGAAACAATGGGTCGGAGATATTTAAGCCTTGATTGATCGTCAGGTTCAGGAAGGCTTTACGATCTTCATGCGGGCGGCGGCGTTTAAAAACCAGAAAAGCTCCAGAATCACTTCATTCTTCGTCCATCTTTCTTTCTAGGCAAAAATGCTAAAAGGGTTCGAGAACAAGGGGTGGGGGTGATATTTCTCGCTCAAAATGATAATTTTTTTTGCGATCCCCCCAACTCATCTGCTCCTGTTCATGTGTCATGCTCACTTGTGAGGATAATATCGTGGGTATTTCATATTAGCGAGCAGAGAGAATTCCTGGGGAGGATAATCTTCTGGGTCATTAATCATCCTGGTAATCTTCATGGATTATGGGCATCCGATCCGGGGACTAAAAAGTTACACGGGTTGACCTCCCGATTAGGAAAGAAAACGAAGCTGATTAAGTACGAAGATTCAACCACGGAACAGGTTAAGCCTCTTTTGGATCACTCTTTTAATCCAAGATTCTCAAAATCTTGAAAAAATTATGTGCTAATGAATCCTTCTAGATGTGGTCTCGTACTCAGTCTTGAGGAGAAGAGACCATTTGGGAACTTATGTTCATCCAAACCCCTCTCTCTCTCTCTCTCTCTCTCGCTCTCCACCATTGAATGGGGCCCCTCAGAATCCGTGGATGCTGACTTAAACGGAAGAGCCCCGCGTCCCTCGTCGCTGCAGTTCGAGGGAAGATGGAGACCAAGGTGCTGGCGGTCTTGCTCCTGGCGGTCTCTTCCTTGCTCGTCGCCGGCGCCGCTCTCCCGCAGCCCGTTCGACCATCCGGAGTGCTCAGAAGAGCGCCTGGGGAACTGCCCCGTTTACTGTCCGAGGTACTGCCTTAAGATCGGATTCAAGTCCTCCGCCTGCAACCGGCAGCCGGGTCCTACTGCTGCTGCACCGGCAGCCGGGTCCCCACGCCGTCCAGGCGTTGATGGCGTCGAGAGTTGAGTTGAAATAAACTATGCGATCAGAGTAGATATTCTGGACCTTCGCAAGAGATGCGAAGAAATAATATGCTGGTGGCGACCTGCCCCCTTCTGGTTCATCCTTCTCCATCAACGGGTCATCTGAAAGTGAGCTAATTCTTGAGAATCACCCAATTTCGACCAGGATCTATCGACCCAGATCGTTAAATTTGGAGTAACATTTGTTTTTCATGAGAACCAAATATCTCGATGACACACGCACGCACGCACACTCTGTTGCTACCTACAATGATGAAAATAATGCGGCCGCCGAATCAGACCACCAAAGTCTCATTTTCTTTTTCTCTGTTTAAAAAATACAATCCCAAAAGACTGTTGTCGGAGGGCACAGCGACAGCATGTGTCACTCTGCCCGGGTATTACAGAAGAACTGTGGGAAGAAAGGAATTTTCTTTTGACGGCGGAGCCCAACGGATCAATCTAGGCTCAGACTGACACGAAGCACGAATCCGCTGTTGACTTAAATCCAGCTCTTGCCCTCGGTCTTCCTTATCCCCATCTGCTTCATCCTCCTCAAGATCTCCGACGCGTCGTCCCAGCGGCACACGGTCTTGTAGGTGTTCGCGAGGAGGACGTAGCTCAGATGGCAGTGCGGGTCCAGCTGCATCATCTTCTTCGCCACCCGCTCCGCCACCGCCGGGTCCGAGTACGTCGCGCAGGCGCCCAGAAGCGCCGCCCAGAGGGACGAATCTTCGGCAAAGAACGAGTCTTTAATCAACGCCTCGGCCTCTTCCAGGAAACCTGCCCGGCCCAGCAGATCCACCATGCAGTTGTAATGTTCTACTCCGGGGCTGATCTGGTACTCGTCGCTCATCAACCCAAAGTTCCGCCTTCCTTCCTCGACCATCCCCGCGTGGCTGCAGGCGAAGAGCACCCCGATGAAGGTGATGTAATCGGGGCGTACCCCCGCTGCCACCATGCCGCCGAAGAGGCTCATGGCCTCGGCGCTCCTTCCGTTCTGCGCTAACCCACAGATCATCGCGTTCCAGGTGATCGGATTTCTGTTGGGAATTTTCTCAAACATCCGGTGTGCGTAATCTACGAGTCCGCATTTCCAGTACAGATCGACGAGGGCGCACTCCACGATCACGTCCTTGCGACCTCCCGTCCGCAGGAATTGGCCATGAACTTCTTTGCCGCGCCGCGCGTCCGTCAGCCCAGCGCAGGCGCGGAGAACCGTGCTGAGGCTGTAGTTGTCGTCTTCTTTATCCATGGCCCGGAAGATCTGGAGCACAGAGTGGTAGTCCCCGCTGTGGCAGTATCCCCCCAGCAGGGCGCACCAGGAGATCGCGTTCTTCACGGCCATGCGGTCGAAAACCCGCTGGGAGTCCGCCATGGAGCCGCATTTGGCGTACATGTCGACGACGCTGCTGTCGACGACGACGTTCCCGCTGATCCCGGAGGTGATCACCAAGGCGTGCGCCTGCTTCCCCTGGCGGAGCCTCCCCAGGTTACCCAGAGCAGTGAGCACGCTCCCATAGGTGAACCCATCGGGAAACAGGCGGCGCCGCCTCTTCCGTACGGAGGAGACGAAGACCCACAGCGCCGCCTCGAATCGGTCGCTGCGGGTGAGCGCCGAGATCGCGGAGGTCCAGCAGATGGCGTCCGGCGAGGGCACCTCCTCGAAGACGCGGAGAGCGTCCTCCGGGGACGAATTGTTGCCGTACATGTCGATCAGCGCGCTGGAGATGACGGGGTTCGAGTCATAGCCCAGCGAGAAGACGACCCCGTGGAAGCTCCTCCCCAGCAGGAGGCCGCCGCCCCCGCCGCTGCTGCCCATCTCTGAGCAGGACTTCACGGCGGCCGACAGAGTGAAGGCGTTGGGGTCAACCCCCAGAGCCCACATCTCCTTGATGAGCCCCACGGCCTCGCGGGGCCTGCCGGCGCGGACATAGCCGGACACCATCGAGGTCCAGGCGACCACATCTCTATGGGGCAGCTCGTCGAACACCTTCCGGGTGGAGTCAAAGTTTGGGCAGAGCTTGAAGTAGAGGGCCAGCAGACTGTTGCCGACGAAGCGGTCCGAGTCGAGGCCGTACTTGAGGACGTGAACATGGAGCTGCTCTCCGGAGGGGAAGCAGAAGCGCCTGGTGCAGGATTGCAGGAGGGAAGCGTAGACGAGCGGCGGGGACTCGGCTGCTCCGCCGCCTGGATCAACGGATCTCAGACGGCGGAGCGCCTGCGAGGGGCAGCCCGAGGAGCAGAGCTCGAGGATCTCCGACTCGGAGGAGTAGCCCCTGTTGGCAGAGAGGCGGAGATGGCGGACGTATGGTCTACAACGCCTACACGACATCCATGCGTCTGCTCCGGCATGTCATTACATGAGCCTGGCGCCGCCGGTTGTCACCTGCTTTGCCGGGCTTCTTAGCTGGTCGGAGTATCCGGTATGTCCGATAAGGGCCTTACGTTGTCTGGGCTCCTTCTACCTGTACCGCCGACAAAAGGGAATTCTTTTACCGTCGTCGGCATCTATCACAGAGGTCATCGTCTCTCTCTCTCTCTCTCTCTCTCTCTTTCTCTCTCTCGCTCTCTCTTTCTCTGATTGATGCCGATGGCCTGAATAATGGACAGATTTCTAAATTCGGAATCTAAATCATTATGCCCGTGGGGGATAGGAAGGTAATAGCCGGTTTTTACTTGCAGTAATCTAAATCCAGCCACAAATTCGCGGTTGACTTTAGGAATGGAAGTAATCATGGACTGTTTTAGACGGTAAATGGGTTTACGCGAAACCCATGGGCTGTTCTTCTTGGAAAGACTCCGTGGTTGGAAAGTCAAAGGTAGAGGGAACAATAAGAAAAACTCACAAGATATGAAATTTCTAGCTCATTTAGATAGGAATTATGTATGAGGATAAAGGGGACCCATTCATAGGCGTTGCCACTACAATCAAACTGAGCCCGAAAATATTCCGCAGAAATTCAAATACACGGAAAAAAAAAAAGACAAACCAAAATAGTCTGAATGTCCTGGTAGGTGCAGAAATTAGTCATCTTCGAGCACAAGAAGTTGGCCTACAAGGAGGAATATAAAATATACTCTGGATACAAAATATCTAGGAAAATTATGTAATCACAGTCTTGGACGTTGCGTGTGATCTTAAATTTGATGCAATAAGGGGAGAATCGTAATCTTTAATGCGCCCCCACATATGGAGCATGCAACAAGAATGCCTGCCGTATCTAGTCAACGTCTGTGCTTCCGAGACCAATCAAGCGAGCGCGTAGATCATGAGGCTGATGAAGAGGCTCCGTATCCGTCTCAATGAATCTCGGATTCCTAGGTCTTTAGGAGCAGGTGTGAATGTTCCCTCCCCGTGCAAGTAACAGGAGGCACGCAAATCCTCAAGATTTCAGATGAATGAAGAAAATCTCGGCCCCACAGGGGGACTGCTCACTCGGATCTTTCGGCTGGAACGCCGACGTAGTCGAAGCCCACGACCAGGAAGGCGATGCCTTGGAGGAAGATGTAGACGAAGTACCTCTTCTTTGCCACCAGGACGTCATAGAGACCGCAGGACAAGAGCACAGCCCCCACCCCGATCTCCCCCACGTGGAACCTTCACACGTCAATGGGCTTCAAATCGACTTAGCACAAGTACGATGAAAGATTATCACCTACCAGAGAGAGAGAGAGAGAGAGAGCGAGAGAGAGAGGCTACCTTTTCCCAATATTTCTTAAAGGTTTCCTCATTGGCGCGTCGATGACGAGGAGAGAGCTCTCAACGTCTTCATTGGCGCATCGTGGGGCCTTCACCTCGTGGTCATCTCCCCGCTTTTGGGTGACGACCCACTCGTTCGCCCTCTTGGCTTCGAGGAGGCCGGTTATGATAGCCTTGAACCGATGCAGCGACATGGCGTTCTCGAACAGGACCCAGATCACAACGAGATGAAAGGAGCTGCGTTTGAAAGAATGCGAAAATCCCAATCAGGCTCAACTTTCTGGTTTCCTTTCGTCTACATGGGAAACGATCAATCGTCCTACCGGGGCGTCTCTATTGCCTTGGCGATGGTGATGAGGCAAGGGACGTAGACCATCGCCCAGGCCGGGATGGATATCTCGGGAACGAGCACAGATAGGGGAATCAACCCACAGAAGAAGGTCAAGGAGAGGGTGTGGGCTACGATCTTCCCGAGGAAGAAGAAGTTGTAGATGATGTGGAGCCTCTTCAACAGGGACACCTTCTGCCATTAACAAGATCGAGGTAATTCAGTTCTCCGTGGAAATAATTCCCGTAGAGATCATCACCTCTTCGTGGTTCATGAAGGCGGTTTATGGAAGATCAATGTTGCTTGACACATTTGAAATTCCCCTGAAAGTAAATCTTCCGTCGTGACTTAACAAAGATGGTGTATGGAACTGGACACCACTGACCTTGTTCTGTATAATTTCGATGGCCATCTTTCTAAATAGATTGGCGGGGCCGCAGGACCATCGGTGCTGCTGGAACCGATATGCCGCGAAGTTACTTGGCAGCTCGCTCTTGACCTGATTCGATGCCACGATCGACGGAGAATAGGTTAGGAAAGTATGGAAGGCACATTAAGCACACGAGGCCTGGGAACAGGCCCGGATAACAGAGACCCGTGTCTTTCTGAGGTCTAAACTAGATATAAATGCCACACGTATGACATTATTTCGTGATGAAAAATATTTGGTCAATGAAGGTTTGGTTTTGGGATGGAGATAAGCTAAATCAATAATACGAAATTCTGGCAGATGCAACCGACCTTTACGTCGCCCACGTAGACAAATTTCCATCCTTTCAGACAAGCTCGGACGGCCAGATCCATGTCCTCTACTGTTGTTCTGGTATTCCAGCCTCCCGAGTCATTTAAAGCCGTGATTCGCCACACACCAGCCGTACCTAAATGAGTTACAGGTATATATATATACGTAGTCAGATGATATTCCTGAGAAACGCCATTAATAGACAAGGAGTCATAGCATTTCTCTGAACTGAAGGGCAGAACCGATCGCTGGAAAGAAGCTTTAGTGTGTCGAAGGACTACCGTTGAAGCCAAAGAAGGCGAACGCTGAAGAGCCCGCTTGTTGCTCCACCGTGAAGTGGTAGTTTAGAGACATCTCTTGCATCCTCGTCATCAGGCACTTGCTGGCGTTGACTGCAGAGTGTAGAAACAGGAAAAGAACACGTCGATTATTATAATTAGAGAAAGGGATTCTAATGCCATGGTCCTGGTATTACGATTTTAAGCTAATCGGCAATAAATGGTACCCCCATTCGTGTCCGTTTATCTACATCCAATGTAAGATTGTTCTTAGACTATACATGTATAGAGGGCTATTCATATACAGAAGGAGCTCAAAAAGCCAGGCTGAGGCCCCACAATTAGTGCAGCCTGAACCCACCGGAATAACTTTTACAAGATTCAATCTTAGAGGAAAGCCCGGCGATGGATTCCATGCAAGATATTTGGGAAGCCACCTATATATTCGCACTAGAGCGAGAGTGAGTGAGAGAAGGTGTGAGTGAGTGACTGAGAGAGGGTGTGAGTGAGTGAGTGAGTGAGTGAGTGTGTGTGTGTGTGTGTGTGAGAGAGAGAGAGAGAGAGAGAGAGAAATTTGGGAAGCGACGTGGATAATCTGTAGGTAGACACAAGACACCACAAGACTTCGGGTTTGAGAGGAGGCCCTTTCTTTTAATTGGTGAATTTTGAGGCTCAAGAGGGGGGTGAATTCGGCGGAGCCGGACTTTGGCAGTCTATTGGCACTCCTACGTATACGAAGTATAAACTTTCTCACAGCGTATATATTACCATATTCAAACAGCAAGAATAGAGTATTAACCATCTTGTACGGCATGGGAAAGCTTACCGAATTTCCAGCGGGACTGGACGAGGGAGATCTCGGGGTTATACACGAGGAAAGGGACGATCCGCACGAGGAAATCAGCGTCCGGCTGGAAATCGGAGTCGAAGATGGCGACAAACTCACAGCGCCGGACGTAGTTGTGCTTCATCCCTTCCTTGAGCGCCCCTGCCTTGTACCCCTTCCGGTCACTCCTGACCTCATACCGGATGTCTACTCCTTTCTTAGCCCACTTCGCACACTCAGCCCTCACCAACTCCTGCGAATCAATGGGAATCGGGTACTGAGCTCGGAGATCTTTTCGCTCGACATAATTTCTTTTTTGGCTTCGAGTACGTTTATATCGAGTCTATACGACCAACAGTAGGAAGCACAGCTGGATGTGGATCGCGCGACGCATGAATAATGGGTAGATTGTGGAGTGTAGGGGAGTCTTGGATTAATAACTAGCAGGAGAAGATGCGGTGGGTTGATTAAATAGAGTGGCAACCTTGATGGCTTCGTCTGAGTCGTCCAGAACTTGAACGATCAGACGATGCTTCGGCCATGATAGCTTGCAGGCCGCTTCAATGGAAAGATGATAAACCTGCGCAAAATCAAGATGAGGAGGATGAAGAATAAGACAGTGACAATGAAGAGTGGCCAACCTCTTTCTCGTTGTACATGGGGATCTGAACCAGAACCACGGGGAAAACTGCATCGCTCGACTCCTCGTCTTGGACAAGCGGTTCCCATTTGTATACCTTCCCCGGCTTCCGGTTGAAGACCTTGACGTAGAGGGCGATCCCGGTCATGAAGAGCTTCTCGAACATCTGCATCACCAGCATTGCCATGGAGACCGTGATCAACACCCTCATTGGAGGAGCGATCACCTTCACCCGGAACCACGCCCATGCCAGGTTGGCCATCCTCGCCGGAAGGCGCGACTGCAGTAGACCGGGGATTGGGTGCACGAGGAACTGAGGCAGGACGCCTATACATTGAAAGGACAAGTGCATCAGAGGAGGCATGAAGAAAAAGAGGAGGCAATGATCAGAGTACCACGCAGCATCTCCGTTCCTGGTTGCTCCATGAAATTGGGCGCCCGATCGTAGGGTTTCCTTCCACTTATATCATACGAATTCGAAGGGATAAGGAAATAGGAAACCCGGCGGGGGGCCTTCGACGTACGCCTTGGAGATGCCCCGTAGTGAGCATCCTCATCCCTCCCATCTCGCACGAGTAAAGAATTTTCTTTAAAAATTATGGCAAGATTGGATTATGACCCAACAGGGACATCTCTCATCTGTTCTAAAGCTCATAATTCTCTGTGGCTAAACATAGCCATCTGTGATGCATTTCAGATGTGTTATGCCTTTCAAATGGGAATCTCATCCGATCGCGTTAGTTGAGATTCCAGGCTGAGTTGACACGGAAGAGCTAAATGTTCCTGAAGAAGGAAGACGCTGAGACGCTCGCAAACTATTTTTAAGTTCGGTGTAGTCGATGCGTTCCCTGAGACTATCTATTGAGTTGATACAGAAACTGTAAAGATCGGGCATGGAAGTTAGAAACTCCTCTTTTCGTCACCCGACTGTCCCACAATCACCATAGTATAATCCTGGATCTCACTCTCTATCGATGTATATTTATCTAATTATAACATAGACACCGCAGATACTTTGGAAAAATAATGCAGAAGGCATAGCTAGACTCCAGCTTATGAGGCCTTGCCAAGAGTCGCTCTGCTATCTTCCATTTCTTCATGAATAAAAGTATGTATGGAGGCATTTTTGGTGAGTTCATGAATATGAATCTGAATTCTCTTTGACACAGAACTTTAATCCATATTTTAAATAATTTTTTAAATGTATTAATACGAATATAAATCTGATTTCTCTCTTAGCCTGAAATTCAAGAAAGATTGTGTCATACTAAAAAAAAAGATTAAAATTGAAAGTTTTTCTAGAACCTTATTGGGTAGATGTTAAATCATTGTAAAATTATAGCGAAATGATAAAGTAGAAATCTATAGCTTTCGGTGGTACATCCTATCTGTCACAAAAGTCATGCTAGAGTTTTTCAATGCTCCAAAATAGTCTTGTGGCACATCTTTTTTGCCGTAAAATTGTAGAAAATGATGATTTCAAGTTCATTTTTATGTAGAGTCAAAAGATTATCACAATCAGTGTCATTTCTTAAAACTTTAGTTGATCAATTCTTAGTCCTTACCATTAGTTGAAAACTAACATCACATGAAGGAATGGGAAAACGTGGTCTTCTCCTGATGAGTGTTCCCACAATTATTTGAAGAGATCATAATTTAGGTGAGTTATAATATTTAGTCTAATCGTAGGAATCTACTGAATCAGAATATTTTTTGTGCACATTTTTCTCCATTTCCAGGTTCAAGAACAGCAAGCCAAGAACACAGAGAATTGATACACAAACTAAATGACATATATGTTAGGTTGACTAGTCAACTTGTCGGGAAAACTCTGCCTGGACTTCTCCTCTTATTTTTTATTTTAGGGACGATTTTCGAGTATGAAACTAGTCCTGCCCCTTTGTATAGAAAATACTGGAAAAGGGGGCTCAGGAGAGAATTAAACCAATATGAAAAACCTTTTCTCTTTTGCTGCACACATTGGAGGTATGATGTTTTCCTCTCTTTGTGGCTTGGTTGTGAGTTTTATTCTCCTTTTTATCTGTATCATTTATTCATTTATATAAGAATTATCTTCTTGTTTTAGTGGACATGAGGTGTATAATCTACAATTAAATTTGTGTGCCATTTTTCTCCATCCTTCTTCTTCAATATTTATTGCTTTCTTTATTGTGTGTCTTGTTCTTGTTCTTCCACTGCTATATTAGTGCTTTTATTTCAATGTTACCCAATAAACCAATATCATAGTATTTTTTGGTGCATAGTATTGACATTTTGAAGAGCATAAGATGTCTACAATGTTTGAAATTGGGAGGTTTGATTAGAGCATCAACTTCAGAATATTGGAGCTTAAGAGGACAGTTCTTTTGACTCACCAAGGGCTATAGTACTTGGTGAATACTATATTTGGGAAAAGGAAAATGCTGAATACTATATTCATTGAAGAGAAATCAGAATAAGTTAAGGAGACATTGGCTATGATTTAATTTAGTTTTTTAAATGAGAGGATGAATTATGACTGAAATTAGAATTTTTTTACATCACCAAAATCCCTCACCAACAAGTTACATTTGAAGCAGAACTTTGTCATATTAATGATGGCAAAAGATATTTCAATTAAATCACATATTGATGAATTTAGTTCCATTTTATCAGTTTTAAAAAATATTGATGTGAACATTTAAGTTCAAGTTTTATTAGCACTTTGTTCATTACCATCATCATATAAATACTTTCGAGAAATGTTTGTTATAAAGTAGAGATTTTATCTTATTGAATATGTGAAAGTTTCTTTGTTTTTAAAAATTAGAAGATAAAGATAACTAGTAGTACTTTTAAAGGATAGAAATCTGAAGGTCTTGTTGCTAGAGGACTCAAGGAGGAAAATCAATTTGAGAGAAATAGAGAAACTAGATCTAAACATCAAATCAAAAATGGATTCTAGGATAATTGTCAGAAGAAAAGAGATAATAAGGTTGACTGTTGAAAACTCATGAGAAAATAGTAACATGAATAAGAAAAATATTTTAATTGAATTAATTTTTCAACAAAGGTGAGTGTCGCCAAAGAACAAAGTGACAATGTTATTTTCTATGTTTAGTACATTAGATGTAAAGATGATTAGATCTTATGCTTAGGTTGTTCATATTGTATGAATTTTACTAGAGATTTTATCCATATGAGTAAATGTCTTGATGAAAAATGATACCCATGCAAGACAATTGGGATTGATTCAATCCAACTTATAAAGACATTATTGTTGGTTTAAGGCCTTATACCAAGGGGGGTTTAATTAATTGAATCATAATTTTGACTTTTGGTAAACTATCTTAATTTACTTGATCTCTTATGTTTGATCCTACATTTCCTAGAATACCTATATTTAAATATTAAATATTCAAAGAAATTTTTAGTGGTTATGACATTGCCTATGACCACTATCTAAGAACACTCTATTCTTTGGTAGAGAACCATAGGCTACCTATAAAATATTTAGTAGACAACCGTGGGTTACTGAGTTCATCTCTCATAAGATTTTACATATAAATTCTGTTATAAATAGTTCTAGGTGGGGCTCACCATTGATTACAAGGATAAACTCTAGTGATTGAGTCAACCAAGATTTCATCACAATTTATCTCATAAAAAATATAGAAGAACTTCATTGTGGGATTTTTTTATTAGTTGATGAAGACTTGTATCATGTCTGCAAGGTGAAGAGGAAGTTGAATTGAGCTAGATTTTATTTGTCCTTATCATGTAGGGAAGCTATCTGATTATGAAGATATTGACACTCACTAAGATTAAAGATGATTGCATTTGAATGAAATTTTGCTCCTCAACTCAAATGTCTTCTTGCTATTTCATCAAACTTCAAATATCACTACATTTTACTTCTAATTTTCTAAAACAGTTAGCCTAAAGAGACTAGAGGTTATAAAAAGGTTAGAGATGATCGTTCAGAAGTAATTAGCCATAGAAGAGAGGCTAAATTTATAAAGTTAAAAATTTTCTTTTTTTTTCATTTCTGAATCTTAAAATTATAAAATCAGGTAGAGATTTGAATGGTTGGAAACCAGTATGATGTCTTTTAAGGTTTGGATATCATCTAAGATAAAACTAGTATGCATAGCAATTAAGCATTAAAGTATGCATCTAGAGTTTATTGGTTCAAACATGTCTTAAAATAATTTATTATCATTAAAATAAAACAAGAATACATTGCATAATAAATCAATTTTTTTACATTCAAAATTAATCTAAATATCTTAAAATAAAATATGAATATAAATCATCTTACTTTGGTGACTAATAATATTTCAAAATCATTTTTATTTAATATTCAAAATTAGTCAGAAATTTATCAGTATTCCTTTAATTAATCCATATTTAATGGATTAATTCTCTTTTAAGAATGATAAAAAATAATGATTTCAAATGATAGACTTCCAAAATACTAGATATACTTTTGTATGGATAGTTTACTTCAATAATTTTCAGAAAATCTGAAAGGAATATTTTCCTTCAATCATAAATTCATAAGTATTATCATATCTAATAGAAATAAACAATGTAATGATTCTAAGTAGTATATTCATCCAAATTATGAACTCAAAAATATGACCATCAACTACATTCCTTGTGGTAATTTCTAATAATTTAACATCATTACTATATGTCATGTATCAATTTATAGTTAATTAATTTCATGAATACAAGGTACTCATGCAACTTTCATATAAGATAAATGCTTAATATAGTTTGATCCCTTTCTTTCTCTTGTTGTATTTGTCATCATCAAAATATCATGTGTTAATTAGTACTTCAATAAAGGTTAGGCATGAGATAGTGAAATATAAGTTGTAGTAGAATGAAGTTGACAAATGAATAAATCAAACTCTTTTCGAGAAAGTAGATTGTATGATGTCAAATGCAATACTCAATAAGGACTTTTGGGTAGTAACAATGTCCAACAATCATTGTGGACTTGAAAACTTATAAATCATGCAAACATCAAAATTTATAAAATCAAAAAATACAAATTCTTAGATTTTTAGAAATATTTCAGCATAAATAAATCAATTATAATTTGATAAAGGGATTCATAAATAATGGACAACTTTCAAGTTGATCATAATGATGTAAGATAATATTGGGTAAAATTTCAGAATTATTCTAAAAAACTAAGATTTTTTATAATTTTTAGACTAAATAATAAAGATAAAATATATTTACAAATTTATGAAAAAAGAAAATTCAGGTGAAAATAGTGTTTTGTCTAGTGATTCTTATGTAAATGATTATAAATGATTTAATTGATCAAATTAAGATCTGTAAAAGTTAGAAAAATCTTAATTTAGCAAA